ATAAAATAGTAGCCAGGTGAATTAAATAAACGCTTGGTATAGTTACATAGTCTCCCTTTTGGGGGATATATTCATTCTCACAGTTAAACTCAGATTACAAAGAAATCTATACTTTTCCCCAAACTAGGCCTACTCACTTCTCCCTACTTCTCGCTCCATTATAAAGAAATCCAGCCTACACTCACAAAGTCACAAGGCAGCTTTTGTTCTGTTTTTATTTCAGAGCTGCCGTGCTGGACAGCTTCAGTTGTCAACTTGACACACCTGGGACAAGGGAACTTCAATTGGAGAATTTCCTCTGTAGGAATGGCATGTGGGCATTTTTCTTTTCCTTTCTTTCTTTCTTTCTTTCTTTCTTTCTTTCTTTCTTTCTTTCTTTCTTTCTTTCTTTCTTTCTTTCTTTCTTTCTTTCTTTCTTTCTTTCTTTCTTTCTTTCTTTCTTTCTTTCTTTCTTTCTTTCTTTCTTTCTTTCTTTCTTTCTTTCTTTCTTTCTTTCTTTCTTTCTTTCTTTCTTTCTTTCTTTCTTTCTTTCTTTCTTTCTTTCTTTCTTTCTTTCTTTCTTTCTTTCTTTCTTTCTTTCTTTCTTTCTTTCTTTCTTTCTTTCTTTCTTTCTTTCTTTCTTTTAATCTTTTTGAGACAGGATTTCCCTGTAACCCTAGCTGGCCTGGAACTTGCTATGTAGACCAGACTGGCCTCCAACTCACAGAGATCCACCTGTACTGAGATTAAAGGCGTGCGCCACCACGCCTGGCACCATATGGGCATGTTCTTGATGTTCTTGATTCTTGAGTGATGTGGGAGGGTCAGGCCACTGTGGGTGGTGCCATCCTTGGGCAGGTGACCAGGGGTTGTATAAGAAAGCAGGCTAAGCATGGGCCAGAGGAGAAAGCCAGTAAGCAGCATTCCTCCATGGTCTGTGATTCAGCTCCTGCCTCCAGGTTCCTGCTCTACTATGATCAGATATGTAAGCCAAATAAGCCATTTCCCAAGTTGGTTTTGATTGGTGTTTTAATGCAGCAACAGAAAGCTAGCTTGCAGTATTGTGGATCAAATCTCAGTGCCTCCTACATGTTCCCTGATTCATTTTTGAGACATAGCCTCATTATGTAACCCTGGATGACCTAGAACTCACTATAAAGACCAGGTGGATATTTTTTACATTTAGTGTGTGTATGTATGTGTGTGTGTGTGTGTGTGTAGATCAAAGGACAACTTGCTGAAATCAGAGATCTCTCCTTCTACTATATGGGTCCTGGAGCTCCAACTGAGGTCATCAGGCTTGGTGGCAAGGGCCTTTACCCACTGAGCCATCTCACCAGCTCCAGCCAGGTAGGCCTTGAACTTGTGGTGATCTCAACTTTATTCCCTGAGTGCTGGAATTACAGACCTCACCATACTGAGCTACTTCATTTTCATAAATAATTTCACATATTTCTGGAACAGAGTTTGATAATGTGATACACACATAGGAAGTACTAGGATCCAGTCAAGGTGATGGCATTTCTGCCCCCTCCAACATGCACTTTTGTGCTTTGTGCTAGCAGATTTTGAGCCTCTCTCTTCTAGATCTTTATAAAATATAAATTGTGGGGCTGGAGCGATGGCTCAGCACTGGTTGTTCTTGCGGAAGACCCAGGTTCGAATCCCAGCACCCATATGGCAGCTAACAACTGTCTGTAACTCCAGTCCCAGGGGATCTGACAGCCCCTTCTGACCTCCGTGGGCATTGCAGGACATGGGTGCACTTACCTACATGCAGGCAATACACACACATACACATAAAATTTTAAAAATAAATAAATAAAATATAAATTGTGATGAACTATTTGCTGTAGAATTTGAAAACTTACTTTGCCTATGTGACTGTATTTTGCTATTCACTCTCTAACCTCCCTCTATGAACCTTTCCCTGCTAATAGACTCCAGTGATCACTGTTCTCTTTACTTTTGTGCGATCAACTTTTTTGTTTAGCTGATTCTTTTAAAAAGTACAAATGCAGCTATTGCCTGTACAAAACAGCAATGAAATGGAAGCGCTGCAGTCAGCTGAAGCAAGAAAGAACTGACTGCATCAAGGAGAGCCCAGCGAGACCTTGGGACTGGAGCAGATGCTGTCTGCTGTGGGAGTCCCTGCTCTGTTATCTGGGGAGCTGTGCCCAACATGAGCATCTGAGATGGATGCTGTCCACAGACAGAAGCTTGATCACACGCCAGCTTTGTTCTGACCTGGGATGGGATGCAGCCTCTTGATGACCCATCATATTGGAAAGGAATCACCCACAGTGTAATGCCATATATGAGTGTAATGCTAAGTTTTCATATGTGCCTTTTCAGCAAACATATCCAGGAACGTAAGTGTGTATGAACACACACGTCATCATTATATCTACAGATATACACACACATTCTTATGTATGTACATGCAGATGTAACTGTATACACTTATACAATCATTAGAAATACAATTGGCCTGAAAGTCAGCTGACTTTTCTTCAGAAAGACTATTTTTGTCCTAGAATTATTTTTCTTTTGGGATGAAGAATGTTAAAATCATGTTGTATTAGCTGGGTGTGGTGGTGTACACCTTTAATCCCAGCACTTGGGAGGCAGAGGCTTGTGGATCTCTGTGAGTTCGAGGCCAGCCTGGTCTACATAGCAAGTTCCAGGTCAGCTGGGGCTACAGGGAGATGCTGTCTCAAAAGACAAAAAAAAAAAAAAAAAATCATGTTGTACTGATGACATTATTATTGAATTTGTGGGATTTTATTTTCCCTTTTTGCAAAATAAACATTGAACAAGTTTTTAAAAAACAGCAATAAAGACAGGTTACTGGACACCTTGGGCATTAGACCCATGAGTGCTCTTGGAACTGCCTCTGGCTAGGCTGTTAGAAACTCTTACCTTGGTAAATGCTTTGGCCACACAGCATGTGGCCTCTGAAGTGATATTCTTAGGAACAAGCATTGTCTTCTTGGACCTTGCAGGTGTGGGGTACGCCCTGGAGAAGCAGCAGCCCATACACTGATAGATGGGGGCTCCCAGCTTGGAGAAGTATTTGTTTTCCTTCAGTTTACATTCTGGGCAACCTAACCAACAAAAGAAATATGGAAAAAATTACCCAGAAAAGATTAGAAAACAAACTAACTCTTTCCTTGTTATGCTATGGCAAATATTTTTGTACTTGCAATCAAAGGGAAATAACAATTTTTGGTTATATATTAATCTTCATGTATAACATCTATTTGTTATAATCTTCATGTATAACATCTATTGATTATAGTTATGCTAATGGGTAAATAAGTTTTTCATGCTGCATGGGAAATCTGTTATAGTTTCTCATTCTTCAAGCAGAGTATGCATCCAAATGCTCACAGTATGCATAGAGAGAACATAAAAAGTTCACGGATGAAAATTCCACATTCATTTGAGAAAAGAATTTTTCCAGAGGCAAAATATTTTCCACATGAAAAATCTGTTATCGTTTTTCCTATTCAAACTCCAAATATTGACAAAGAAAAATATACATGAGAATTAAGAAATCTAGTGAGTGTAGATAGCCTGATTACACATGAGCCATCTGCACTTAGAAAGTGGGGTTCAGATATTACTATTTAGCAAGAGAAAAACCATAAACCATAACTAGTTCACAATTTCAAAGCTGGTGGAATCATATCAGCTACTGTATGAGATTTTCCAAACAAGATACAAAACAAATTTAATGTACAGAATGATTTTTGTTTTTCTCACTTGTTACCTGATATGAAAACTCATTGGTAAAAGCAAAGTTAAAATCCTCTCGTATCTTTGTTCTAAAAGAAATGTGGAAAACAAACTGAACTGAGGAAGGAGCATTGTCCTTGTGAAACTCAGATCTGGTATACTAAGGAATGTAGTTTAGATGAAAGTGTGCAGGTTGTTATTGAAATGGATGTGTAAAATATTATTTTTACTGTATATTTTTGAACCTAATTTAATTTTATATTAATAATCCACAAGTGCCTAGGTGTGTACCCAATAGTGAAGATTTATCACCTTTGAAAGGAGGTAGAAATGTAATGAATGGAGTTATTGATGTATATTTAGAACTATCGGTTCTTATTACTACAAGCCCAAGTTGGTTATCTACCTTGCATCATAAACTCTCCATCAGGAAGGGAGTGGAGGATATGCAGGAATACAGCCAAGGTGGCCAGAACAGCAGCCGCGTATTTCCTGTAGTACTCCATAGCTTTCCTGTAAAACAGACAAAAGAATACATACTAACAGTCTGATCCTGGCTTGCCTGTCATAATAACAACCAACAGTTTTAGTGTGATTGTTCCTTTCCTTTTTATTTTACTTTATGATTCTGGACATTGAACCCATGGGAAAGCACTAATTCCCTTTAGGAAAGAGGTAGGGCGTTGAGTCTCCCATTTCCCACATAAGCAAGCAGAATATACTGACAAATTCATTCATTTTCTCTACCTCTCCCTCTCTCCCTTCCTCTCTCTTTGCCTGGCCTTGAATTCACAGCAATCCTTCAGCCTACCCAATGTACTTAATAGAGTAGTTGGTATGGTGGATATACAAACTAAAACAGGAATTACCAGAACATCTAAAGTTTTGAAATGCCAAATGCTGGCATGGATATAAGAAATAGGATGACAGACATTGCTGGTGGGAATGTTAAATGGTACGGTTCTCTGGAAAATAGCATAGCAGGTTTTCTTGTTGTTTGGTTGAGAGGTACTGGGGGGGACAGTGATTGCTTTTGTTTCTTAGTCAGGGTCTCATGTAGCCCATGCTAACTTAAAACTCACTAAGTAGCTAAGGATGGCCTTGAACTCCTGAAATTCCTACCTCATCTCTCAAATGCTGGGATTACGGGTGTGTGCAAACTCTCAAGAGCTTTACATGTCATTATTTCTACCTGATATGCATTTCTATATAGTTAGTTAACTAGAAGTAACCACTCCTGTAAGTCAGTAATTCTTAAAGCATGAACTGGAGACCCCAGACACCTTCAGTGGGTCTATGAGGTCAAAAACCTTCCCTGGTGCACTCACCCCAGCAAGAGGAAGAGAGGGGCCCTCTTCTGAGGAGTCCCTGCCCTACCTCAGCCTCCCACACTCTGAGCACCTCCCTTCACAGTTTCCATCCCAGATCCCCAGAAGAAGGAGAGGAGCTTGGGGAGCTCAGGGAACTCTATTCTCTTGAACACCATCAATAAAATTCATTGTACCTACCCCCAAATTTCTAAAATGTTATTTGTCTTTTTCTTAGGGGCTCCATGATGTGATCATGCAACAGACTGAATAAAGAAACTCATCAAATCCGGCTGGGTCTGACTAGACAGGACACTGAAGAGATTCAAAAAACATCAAACAGTGCCACTCTTCTTTCAATATTTTCTATTTGAGAGATTGCCATCTGTTGCCATGGATGGTGGCACACAACTGTAATCCCAGTACTTAGGAGGCTAAGCAGGAGTGTTATCACAAGTTCTAAGCCAGCCTGGGCTAAAAATCACAACCTGTGTCAACAACAAAAGTAGAGCAATAAAAAAATAAAACAGTAAGTCATATGGTAACTTTTCTATTTTAGGGCTTTTCGGTGGTTGTTTTTTGGTTTTGAGATATGATCTTGCTATGTGGTCTGGTACTTGATACACTCAAGATGGCCTCAGATTTTCAGCAGTCATCATGTCTCGGCCTCTCAGATGCTGAGACTGCAAGCTTGAACTACCATAGTCAGCTTATTGCTGCTTTTTAAATGAATAACTATTTGAAACTTAAAAAAAAAAAAAAAGTACACAGTATGAGCCAGATCCCAGTACTTAGGAAGTAAAGGCAGGAGGATAGTACTTTAAAGCCATCCTTGGCTACATGGTGAGTTCAAGGTTAGGGATACGCGAGACCCTATCTCAAATCAACAACAACAAAAAATTTATAAACTATGCTAGTGCTCAGACCAAGGATTGTGCATGAGCCCCAAAACTTCATAATTATGTCAGCGATGCCGCCCTACCAACTGCTGCCTTTCCTAAGTGCTCTGAAGAAGTGAAACACCCACCCCGACCCCCTTTCCTCCTTCCCTCCAATCACTCAAGGTTATAAAGTAAAAATTACAAAAATAAGAAAAAGACACCAACTGGGTATCACCAGATGGTACCAGACGTAAACATCGTTTGAGGTCAAGTTAACCACACCATTCATGTAAACATTTTTATGTTTTCCTTTCTTTAAAAAGTCTCTTTTCATCCTTCTCCCAAAGATAGAATCAACCAATCATACGCTGTTTGGCAGCTAGCTGCCGCTGCTTGTTAGTTTTTGCTATAAAATAGCACGTAGGACTCCAACTCAGCGCCCAGGTTTCTTTTGGAGATAACTCCGCCTAGGTCGCGGTCAGTTAATAAAGCTGTTTTCTTGTGAACTCAAAGGTCTTGTTTTCTTGGTTCCTTGGCCAAATGCCACAACAAGGGTACGGAAGGCAGGCTAGAGCCGGCAGAGTGCTGCACTAAAGGATCTTTCTCTCTCCCAGGAGCCAGGACAGCCCTAGAGTCTCTGCCTGCAGCCAGATGATGCAGGAGGGCACTGCTCCGCAGAAAATCCCATCCAGAAGCTCTTCCATTTGACGAGGAGCAGGGCACAGCCAGCCTCCTGAGTAGCTGGAATTACAGATTTGTGTCACTAGACCCTCGGTATTTCTGGCCTTTGGATGTTTTTCTGAGAGAGAAACTTATATTAATATTGTTTTATTCCTAATAATGCTGATTTTAAAAGCCCAGATATTTTTAAGCAATAGACATTAGAAATTCCCCTATGAAACAATGCTTTTTGGTTCATAGAATTTGCCCTATCAGAATTTCTCATTTTTTTACAGTATGGATTTAATGTGCAGGCAATTTTTTGTGTTGATGTCCTAGAAATAGCAGAAGGTAATGAAAAATACCAAAAATTTCAATTGCATAATTGTGAAAACATTGTAAAGTATTTTAAAACTAACAACCTGGATAAAAAACTGAGATCCTGTCTTAAACTAAAACTAAAGAGGGCTATAGATACAGCTCAATGGTACAGCACTTGCAGTCTGCATGAGACTCAGCACACAGACACACACACACTTGCACACACACACACGGTCATAAAAATTTCTATATGGATACTATTGTAGTAATAAAAGAATATCTTAATATTTATTACATTTCTGCATTACATTTTCTCATGTTCATCTGAGCTGTTAGCATGTGGTCCTTTGAATCAACAGGTATGATTCTCATGCACTCACTAAGGAGTGCTAGAGGTATTAATCAATGGTAAAGCATTTGAAGGCAAGGCATGCGGATTGAGGATGTGGCTGCCTTGGAGAGGGCTTGCCTGGTATAAAAATCCTCTGTGTGCCAGGGGGTGAGATGCACTAAGAGACAGGGATGCACTTCACGTAGTGTGTGTACCCCAATACTCACAAGACCCAGAGTTTAATCCCCAGAATCAGGAGTACCATAAATTGTAAAAATACATGTAGTTTGCCTAAAGTCTTTCACTAACAGGAGGATGCTGCTTTTGGATTATTCAGTCACCTACCTGGAAATGGGAGGCAGACAGGAGAGCCTCAGGAAGATCAGGGGCCAGCTAGCCTGGCATACACAGCAGTGAACAAGAGACCCTGTCTCAAGTAAGGCAAATGGCAAGGACTCATTCCTGTGGGTGTTCTCTGACCTCCACAAGCACACTGTGGCATAGTTGTGCCCCCAATAAATAAATAAATAAATACTAAGATGAAATTGAAATGAAATATATAACCTTTAATAAATAGTGATTATTTTTTACTTAAAAAAAATAACTTAGGGACAGCCAGCTCAGTGAGTAAAGGAGTGAGATCCATCCCCAGAACCCATGTAAAGGTAAAAGGGGAGAACCAACCCTACAAAATTGTCCTCTGGCTCCAAATGAGCACTGTGGCATGCACAAATATGCCCAAACACACACATCATACACACATGCACAAACATGAACACATATACACACACTAATAATAGTAAATAAAACTTTAAAAATTAAAAAAATAGCTGGGCGTGGTGGCGCACCCCTGTGGTCCCAGCACTTGGGAGGCAGAGGCAGGTGGATCTCAGTGAGTTTGAGGCCAGCCTGGTCTACATAGTGAGTTCCAGAACAGTGGGGCTACAGGGAGACCCTGTCTCAAAAAGACCAAAAAAAAAAAAAAAATCAAGACTAGCAAATTATTAAAATGCAATTTGGATGACCAATATTTTGAATAACTGAATTGGTATTACTTAATATCAAGTAATTTTGCCATCTGTAATATCAGCACTCAGGAGACTGAGGCAAGAACTCATGGACAGTCTGAGCTATAGAATGAGACCCTGTCTCAAAAAAAATGAAATAAAGTAATTTTTAAAATATTTACGTTTATCGCTGGCTCTAAAGTAATAGTTTGTTTTGTCTTGATTTTTGGTTTTGAGACGGTCTCCTTAGGTAGCCGGGGCTGGCCTGGCCTGGCCTTCCAGCTTTTGCTGGATATGATCCATCATGTCCAGCTCTATATTAATAATTTTTTATATTTTATGTGCATGTGAGCATGTGCCTGCTTATCTATATGTGTACCACTTGTGTGTAGGTATCCATGGAGGCCAGAAGATACTGGATCCCATGATTAGTTACAGGTGGTTATAAACCACCAGATATAGGTGTTGAGAACCAAACCTAGGTCCTCTACAAGAACAGCAAATGCTCTAAACCACTAAGCCATCTTCTAGCCCTTCAAGCAATTATTTGAGAGACATCTTCAGAAACTTAAAAAGGTTCCTCTTCTATAATTCCAGCACTTGGGAGGTGAACCTTGGTTAAGTAGCAAGTTCTAGGACAGCCTGAACTGCAATGTCTCTCTGTTTCAAAATTCCTCTTCTAATGAAAAATATCTTATTTGCTGATCATTGTGGTGCATGCCTTTAGTCCCAGCACTCAGGAGGCAGAGGCAGGTGAGATAGATCTCTGTGACATCGAGGCCAGCCTGGTCTACAAAGTGCCAGGCCAGCTGGGGCTACAGGGAGACCCTGTCTCAAACAGGAGAAAGAAAGAAAGAAAGAAAGAAAGAAAGAAAGAAAGAAAGAAAGAAAGAGAGAGAGAGAGAGAGAGAGAGAGGGAGGGAGGGAGGGAGGGAGGGAAGGAAGGAAGGAAGGAAGGAGAGAGAAAAGCAAAGAGAGAAAAAAAATCCCATTGAAATGCAAAGGAGCTTCCGCATGCCCAAATGATCCTTACTGTGTATCCAGCTGTCACTCTTCATGAATGCCCAGACTCTATTTCTCAACACTGAGAAGGAGGAAAAAATGTGCTCATTCTATTTTCTATTTTTAATTTTCCCGGCCAGTCACCATTTCAACTCTGCTAATGTAAATGCAACTACAATCATCCCTCAGCATCTATATAGGGTTAGTTCCAAATGCACAGGTCACTTAGATAAAATGACATATTTGCATATTACCTACACACATCCTCCTGTGTACTTTAAATTATACTAGATTAATAATAGTAGAATGCTATGTAAATATTTGTTATACTGTGTTGCTCAGGGCATAAGTGTAAGAAAAAGTCTGAACGCATAATTTTTAAAAATGTCTTTGATTTGAGGTTGATTGAATCCAAGAATGTGGAGACTTTACATAAGATTCCAACCATAAGGGTAGCTCAAAAAGTTTCTATAAACCATTAAAACTGCATAGTCAGACTTGCCATTGAAACGTTGTCCGAAATAGCTGGGAAATACTGCCAACTATTATTTTTATAACATTTCATGAAGAAGAACATGGAAACAATGTTCAAGTTCCAGTGATATTAATAATGTCTTAGAGCATTTATTTAAAATATATTGAAACGTATGGTCATTCCACCAAGCAAGTGAACTGCGTAACCATGAATCAGCTTGGAAATTCAGTTATACACCATCTAAAAACTGAAAAAATATAAGTCATCTAAAAAATGAAAGAACATAAGCCACTTCTATAATGTCTACTTGCCCTCTCTCTGCCTAAAACCACGCCAAAGAATGCTGTCAAAGGACATACTAGGATTCTTGCAGAGACTTTTTAGATACTGACAGGCACACCAGCATCACAGCAGGAGACACTTGGCTTCTGGCTCTTTCTGGAAAATATCCTTTCCTATGATCACATACCACAATTTTAAAGACCTCTCTCTATTTCCAATCATGAGTGTGGAAAAGAAAATACCTAATTCTCTTCTTACTACGTTTTATGCAGAAATATACCTCCTGGATTATCAAATAATTTACTCTTTAGTTAAAATCCCCCCAATTAGTTCAATATTACCTTCCTCTGGGTGTCTTGAGAGAGATATTCAGGGCAGTTGACTGTGGATCTGAAGAGAAATTTTAACTTCGTCTTCTGATTTCTCAGTAACTGCAGTTAATAAAAATCTCTCACTGTCTTTTATACCAGCAGAGTGAAAGAAAATACACGTTCCCACCTGCATGTAAGTCCAGGGATCAACAGGAAATTCCACCCAATGATTGGATGGTACTTGGTATAATTACCATGACATCAATTTGATCTTATCTTGTTTCAATCCTCAGATCATATTTGTTTTTATCCATTTTCAGGCAGTGGTAACCTCAAGGTCAGTTTCTGAAAAGAGAGCATATGGTCATTTTCTACGTAATTTTACTAAGACTTACTACACAAAACATCCTGAAAGTTGACACTTTTTTATAAACAAGACTCTACGAGTAGCACATTTAATTAGCTAAGTACCTGATGTTTTCTTAAAACAAGAGAAAAGCATTTCCCAGATTACATTATTCCAATATGAAACAGAAAAAGCAAAACAGTTATTTCAAATTTAAAATTAATGTGCATCTGGATTTAATAAATATGTGTGGAAAAGATGATCCTGAGAAGTACTGAATAGTACTCAATAAATGTCGAGAGAGAGAGAGAAAGAGGGAGAGAGAGAGATCTACAAGGTCACATATAGCAACTGAAGACTTCTTTTCAAAATCTTTTGTCTCAGTGATTAAGGGCACTGGCTGCTCTGCAGAGGACCAGGGTTTAGTTCCCAGCACCCACAGGGCGGCTAATCATCTGTTACTCCAGTTCCAAGGGATCTGATCCTTTCTTCTTGTCTCCATGGGCACTGTATAACATAGGTACACTTACATGCAGGCAAAAAACTCATACACATTTTTTTTAAAAGTAAATAAATCAAACAATTAAAAATAAATAAAATTTTTTAAAATCTTGTGAAAAATTCATTGTGATTTTTTTCTCTTTAAAACAACAACAATGGCCGGGCATGGTGGCGCATGCCTTTAATCCCAACACTCAGGAGGCAGAGGCAGGTGGATCTCTGTGAGTTCAAGGCCAGCCTGGTCTACATAGTGAGTTCCAGGACAGCTGGGGCTACAGGGACACCCTGTCTCAAAAAAAAAAAAAACTCTAACTAAATGAATAAATGTTCTACTTTCTTTGATTCTATTGCTGGGGTAAAACACTGATAAAAAAACGAGTTGAAGAGGAAGGGATTTACTCTGCTGACACCTCCAGGTCACAGTGTACCTTCAAAGTAAGTCAGGGCAGTAACTCAAGGCAGGAACCATGGAGGAACACTGCGTATTGGCTTGATTCTTTGGTTCATGCTTCACTATCTTTCTTATACATCCCAAAACGACCTAGGACCTTTACCTGAAAAAGAAATCCTTACTCTCACAATTATTTCCCAAAAGAGACAACACTTATTGAACTTTGATTAAATACAGAAATGATTCCTGCTAACTAGATATACCAGATTTTCATTGTCCACTCATTTGTTGATGGAAACTAGGTTGGTTCCATTTCTTTACTACAGTGAGTACAGCAGCAATAAGTATGTCCAACAATTAGTTATTGTCTAAAGTTGGACTGTATTTTATAAGATAAACAGACTTTCGGGACAAGGGGTGTGAGATTATGGATTGAAAATGATGTCTTTGAGTGGCAAAGACTGGAATTGTGATGGTAATTGATTGTCTGTTTGACAGAACCAGGAATCACATGGGAGATGGGCCTCTGCATGCCTGTAAAGGGTTGTCTTGATTACATTAATTAAATGCAGAAATGAGGAAGACTGACTCACTGTAAGTGGTGCCATTCCCTAGGCAAAGAGTCCTGGACAGTACAAGGTTATGATTGGAGAAACTGAATTGAGCACTGCATGCATTCGTTTGTCCCTTCTGACTGCAAGTGTAATGTAACCGGCTGCTCCAAATTCCCAACGCTTTGACTTCCCTGCAATGATGGACTGTAATCTGGAGCTATAACAAACCGTTTCTCCATTAAGTTACTTTTTTTTTCTGAGTACTTTATCACAACAATAAGAAAAGAACTAAGACATATTACTTTATTTTTAAACAGTATTTTATTATTTTATTTTATATGTATGAGTGTATTGTCTGCATGTATGTAAGTATACCCATGTCATGCAATGCCTGCAGAAGTCAGAAGAGGATGTTGGACTCCCTGGAATTGGAGTCACAGATGGTTGTCACCATATGGGTGCTGGGAATTGAACCCGGGTCCTCTATAAGGGCAACTAGTGCTCTTAACTGCTGAGCCATCTCTCCAGCCCCTGAAATTTACTTTCTAAGCCAACCAAAACATTGCAGACTGTTTTTCCCTCCCATTAAAAGTTAACCTAGAGGCAGAAGGTGGCTAAACATATATAGAAAGGCACCTATCATCAAACCTGATCACCAGAATTCAATCATCAGGACTCACATGGTAGGAGAGAACTAGCTTCCACAGGAGTTCCTTGACTACATAGCAGGTTCAAAACCAGTTTGGACTACATGAGAAAAAAAAAAAGCCTAGAAATTGAAAAATGAGTAGGGATATAGCTCGGTGATATGAGGTTTGCCTAGCATGCACTAGGCTCTAAGCTCAATCCCAGAACCACAAATAAGAAAGTTAAATTTGTGAAATGAATAAATTTATAGATGAGAAATGTATCTTATTTTTATTTATTTTTCAGTGGGACTGAATATTACATAAAATATAGGTCACTTCTTGTGGTGGTTTGAATGAGAATGTCCACCATAAGCTCCAAGCATTTGAACGCTTGGTCCACATTTGTTGATGCTATTTAGGAAGGGTCATGGACCCTCTAGGAGGTATGTTTGTGCTGGAGCAAGCAAATCACTGGGGAGTGGGCTTTGAGAGTTTATAGCCATGACCAATTCCAGGCTATCATCCGTTGCTTCCTGTGCCTGCTTGAAGATGTGAATGCTCAGCTTTCTGCTCTGGCTGCCTCCCGCTAGGCCTCTGCTCTATGATGGATTCTGATCCCTCTGGAAATGTAAGCCAAATAAATTCTTCCTTCTATAAGTTGCCTTGTTCATGGTGTTTTATCACAGCAATGCAAAAATAACTAATAAACTTGTTGATTTTTTCCCCCCAGTGAGATACCTGTTCGAAAATCTTCCTTCCACCAGGCATAATGAAAACATCTGTAATTACAGCATCCAGGAGACAGAGGAAGAACTGTCACAAGTTTGTGGCCAGCCCGGTCTTCATAGTGAGTTCGAGGCCAACCAAATCTATCCAGCTTGATCCTGTCTCAAAAATCAAAACAAGAAAAAAAAATTTTTCCTCAAATTTTTAGTTTTGTCTTTAATTTTAGCTCTACGTTTGGTGGCTGTTGTTGCTGTACTATCTTTTTAATGAGAAAAAGGTCTCATAAGCCTCTAGTCTCTCCTTAAACCCGATTCTCTTGCTTGGGTTATCAGCATGTGCCTCCAACTCTGGCTCCACTTTTGACTTTTTAATATTACTTTTACTTACTATAAATTTGATGTAATCAAATAGGTAAGTTTTCTGTTACTTTAGACTTGAAGTTTTATGTAATGCACAAAGATATTAAAAAGATTAAAAAGAAGTACCCATTGGGGGTGTCTTTTTTGAGACAGGGTCTCCCTGAAACCCCAGCTGGCCTAGAACTCACTATGTAGACCTGGTTGGCCTTGAACTCACAGAGATCTGCCTGCCTCTGCTTCCTTAGTGAGTACCCATTGCTTCAATCCTAGACACTATATAGCTTTATTTATTTTAGGCTTGGACCTTATTTACATATTTATTTTGGGATAATTTTGTGGAAAAAACTCTTGCCATATGAAATGCCTTCAATAAGACCCTGGATCAACTCAGATGTCTGTCGGTCTGTCAGAGCATTATTACCTTTCCAATTATAACAAATCTGTCCTTTGATGTTACAAACCCACACTAGCTTTACTTAATCTTTTCTTCTTTTTTTAAGACAGAGTCTCATGTAACCTAGGTTGGTCTCAAACTATGTGGCCAAGGATGACCTTGAAATTCTGATCTTCCTGCCTCTACCTTCTGAGCGTTGGATTACAGGCACGAGCCACCATGTCTTGGTTTAGGTGGTGCTAGGCATCAAGCCCTGGTCTTCCTGCATGCCAGGCAAGCATGCTACCAACTGAGCTGCCTCCTCATCCCTTTTCTTGCTCTTAGTTGGCATGGAGATTACTCAGAAGTATGTTATACAATGTTAGTTCCCATAGATTTTACTGTACAAAGCACCTTTATTTTGTGGGTTATAATGATAGTTGTCAATGTTATTTTTCGGGGAACTAATGTTCACACTTTTTCAATTGAATTTTTTAACTTATTTTGTGCATGTGTATACAAGGACAAGTGTATAACTTGAAGTCAGTTCTCCCTCCATCATATGGGTCCTGGAGATCAAACTCAGGTAATCATAATCACGTTGGGCTTTTTTTTTTGTTTTTTTTTTGGCGGGGGTGGAGGTGAGTGGTGGAGAGACAGGGTCCTGATATGTTAACTCTCTGTGTAGACAAGTCTGGCCTCAAAGTTTCAGTGATCCTCCTGCTTCTGCCTCTGAAGTGTTGGGATTACAGGGACATACTACCGAAGTAAGTTAAACTCTGTCTTCCTGGTATTCAGATAAATTAGCCAGAAGGGTGGGATTTTTTTTTTTCCAACTTCAAGGAATTGAACCATTGAACTACTTTGCTAGCCTGACCTATACCCCAGTCCATATGTAGATGTCTAATGTCTGATGGGTGTGTAGAATGGAATCAAACAGTTTGGCATCTCTGATCTTGTACTTTGACTGTCCCTGTTGCTGCCTTAACCTTTAGGTCAGACTCTACCCAACTTTGCATGCAGACTTGCTGATCACTTGAGAAATGTTTTGTCTGGAACTATAATACGTGACTAACCTGATCTAGACGTGTCTGGCTTCTCTCTGTGCTTCAAAGCTACACATACTTACCAGCTCCAGCTACTATGTATTTTTAAACAACGACAAAAAAGGGGGGGGGAGCGGTAATACCCAAGTTGCTGGACGATCCCCAGTTATTCCCAGAAA